AGGCTTGGCAGTGGAGCTGCAAGGCCGGCAGTGGCGGCCGGGACCGTTGGGGGCGGGGTGTGTGGCCTTATGACACACTTCCGGTGATGTCAGGGGGTGTGACCTTATGACACACTTCCGGTGATGTCAGGAGGTGTGGCATATGCTAATGAGTTATGCTAATGAGCTCCCCTCGCTCTTTTTCTACGAAACGACCCCTGGTTTTGGGACAATATCTGGTGGTTTTATGGCATTTGGTCCGGGCATTGTAGATCAGAATCTGGGTGGGTACACGGAAGCCCGCCTGCATTTCCTCCACGCTCAGCAGGCAGAAAAGGAATGTGCTTAGTCTGCCCCTGTGGAGGGCGAAAGCAAGCAAAGGTACCACAAGACACTGTGGTGGGCCGCAGAGCCAAAAATTTGTGCGGCCCCGTCACAGAACAGAAAGGAGAAGGAAGAAACCAGGGGCTGGTGGAAACTACTGTCTCCATCTAGTGCCCAGAATTAAGGAACTATTTTATTACTACGTTCCAAGACCAGCAAGAGTAGTACAAAAATTTTCGACAAAATGTATAAATACATAAAACAATGTGTTACGGTGAAAAATGTCACAATCGTAAAATAAATTTCAGTGTTGATAATACAGAGTCGTCATAAATAACAATTTGATTCAAGCGAATTCCTTCCCCCTAAAGGTCTCATTAATTTAATGTTGCTTGATACTTGTACTCAGGGCTATTTTTGGGCAGGAACGCACAGGAACGGAGTTCCGGCTGGCTCCCGAGTTGGCCACACCCAGCAGGAACTCATTAGCATAATAGGCCACACCCAACAGCAGAAACTCATTAGGATTGGCTACATTAGGGGTGTGTGGCCTAACATGCAAAGGAGTTCCTGCTACAAAAAAAGGCCCTGGATTTTGACCACAAACAAGGTAAACAGAATAACAAGCAAAAGGTGGGTGTGGCTGGATGACCGTACTTCTGGCAACATGGGGGTGCAGCCTAATGTGCTAATAAGCTGTGCTGTCAGGGGTGTGGCCTAATATGCTAATGAGTTCCTGCTGTTGGGTGTGGCCTATTATGTTAATGAGTTCCTGCTGGGCTTTTTCTACAAAGTTGTACTCCACCTTGGGCTCGACCGTTGAGAAGGAAATTAGCGTCACACCGTTTATCGCAACAACTACTGTTAAGTACGGGTTGTGATCGAGCCATCCCGTGCCCTTTTTTGTGTGTGCCACGACAATAGCGGTTCTCCATTTATTTCCATCTCGGCATAGAGCAAATGGAAAATAAGCGTGGCTCTCGGACTCGCCAGCCCGCGGGTAACACTACTTTCTGTTTCCGTAGGGATGGACGAGAAGCCGACGATCGCGTTTGCAGCAATACCCACTGCCAGCCGAGTTATCCAGACAGTGGCCAGTCAGATGGCCCAGGGCATCCCAGGACAGACCGTCACCATCCTCCAGCAGGCAGCGCCCGTCACCCTCGGACAGCACCAGCTCCCTGTCCGGGCAGTGACCCAAAACGGGAAGCATACCATCCCCACCAACAGCATATCTGGTGGCCCTTACGGTACATGTGGCTCTCCTCTTTATTTATGTTTACTTTATTTATATCCCGTCTTTCTCCCCAGTGGGGATCCAGAGCGGCTTGCGGTCTCCTCCTCTGCTCTGTGTTATGTATCGTTCTCCTCTCACAACAACCCTGTGAGGTAGGTTAGGCTGAGTGAGTGTGACTGGCCCAAGGTCACCCGACAAGCTTCTCTACCTGAGTGTGGATTTGAACTGGAGCTGCGGTGGCTCAAGTGGTGAAGACGCTGAACTGCAGGCTGCGGAAGGTCGGTAGTTCAGCAGTTCGAGACCCGAGTGTGCCACATGACGGAGTGAGCTCCCGTCTCTGGTTCCAGCTCCTGCCAACCTAGCAGTTCGAAAGCAAGAAATTGCAAGTAGATAAATAGGGACCACTTCAGTGGGAAGGTAACAGCGTTCCGTGCGCCTTGGTGTTTAGTCATGCCGGCCACATGACCACGGAAACGTCTTCAGACAGCGCTGGCTCTTCGGCTTGGAAACGGAGATGAGCACCGCAACCCTAGAGTCGGATTCGACTGGCTTTCGAGCAAGGGAACCTTTACCTTTACCTTTTACTTTATTTATATCCCGTCTTTCTCCCCAGTGGGGATCCAAAGCGGCTTGTGTTCTCCTCCTCTGCTCCGTGTTATGTATCATTCTCCTCTCACAACAACCCTGTGAGGTAGGTTAGGCTTGAGTGAGTGTGACTGGCCCAAGGTCACCCAACGAACTCTGCCCGAGTGTGGATTTGAACCTGGGTCTCTCCATTCCTAGTCCGACACTCTAACCGCTATACCACATTGCCTCTTCGATTCTGTGTCAGTGCCTTTTGAAACTTGCCTTGAAGACATAGGGTGATTCTGCATCTAACATTCACTCCACATTTTCTCAACACTGAGGGAAAGGTGCAGCTCAAAACCACATTCAAATACCTCGGGGCAACGCCGTACTGACTGCAGAGTCATCCCTGAATGAAGAAGAAGAAGAGATTGGATTTATACCCCGCCCTTCACTTGGAGTCTCAGAGCGGCTTACAAACTCCTTTCCCTTCCCCTCCCCACAACAGACACCCTGGGAGGTGGGTGGGGCTGAGAGAACTCTGACACAAACTGCTCTTTTTCAAGGACAGCTGTGCCAGAGCTTGTGACTGACCCAAGGTCACACCAGCAGGTGCAAGTGGAGGAGTGGGCAATCAAACCCGGTTCTCCTAGATTAGAGTCCGCACACTTCACCACTACACCAAACTTTCTGAATGGCCATAAACCTATGCAGAAGGTACCATAAAACCCGATGGTCAAAGAAAGCGGAAGCCTCATGCAACGCAGAGGGGAAGTTCTGTTCCAACGTGGGTTTCATAAAACGATGGAGGGCAAAGCCAGTGCAGAATCGCCCATAGTTTGTGTGAAATCCAGGACATTCTGGCATCCCTTGCAGCTCATTGTGGCTGGTAGCCTTTGTTCCCGCTATGTACGGCAGCCACGGAAGCACGATGAGCCTACCCTTCTTTGACATGGAAACATGGCATGGTTCACCTACAACCTCTGTAAATTTAAGCGCGTGTGTGTTTTGTATTTGCTGCCAGTAGAGAGAACAGGCAGGAGTTGCACAGTGTGCTAAACCTTGCCTTGGGTTGTAGAAAATCTGGTTATCTGGACATCCTTTGTAAACCTTCTAGCCCTAAGAGGGAAGACCCCATTGTCCTGGAATCAGACCACATTCGTTGCTATCCCCAAGGAAGGAAAGGATCTGGTGTCTCTGGCCTCATACCGGCCGATAGCGTTGATGGATCAGGATGCTAAAATTTTCTCCTATGTAATGGTGGGTAGATTAAAACACGTTGTTCCAGAATATATTAAAATCGTTCAATCTGGTTTTATTCCAAACAGACACATAACAGATAGCATCCGACAGACACTTAATGTTATTAATTTCCGTAAGACCAAAGATATCAGTGCGGCTATTTTAGAAGTCGATATGGAAAAAAGCATTCGATTCGATTGAAATAAGATATTTTTTTGTATAAAACAACACGAAGCAATTTTTCTCCAGGAAGTTTGGCCAGAGAGCATCGAGAATAAATCCACGTTTTCAAGAAAAGCAAAATTTATTTCAAAGCATTGGAAAGACACTCAAACACGTTCTTTGTTAGAACTGACTACAAACGGTTAGGGCAAGCATAATAAAGGGATTTGGAACAGGTACAGAACCAATGGGTCACTTTCCCGCTGGCGGGTGAACGAAAACGGTTTCGCGCTCATTCCCTGAGAACCAGGCTATCTCCAGACATAACACAGGTGCAGTTCCCAGGCTCTAAAAGCAACAAGCTGGCAGTGAAGCGAACTCCCCCAATACATCCTCCAGTTGTTTGGCTTAGGCATTACAGCAGAATAAAATACTGGCGAACAGGCAGGGGGGGGGGGTGAGCAACTGTACAAAGATACAAGTAACACAGAACACCATGGCAGCTTGCTGACATACTGCCCCCTCAAAAATACACATTAACCACCGTCTCCCGGGCAAGGTGCACGTGGGGCTGTGGGGGGGATGTATTTGTGAATTCCCTGCAATGTGCAGGGGGTCAGACTAGATGACCCTGGAGGTCCCGTCCAACTCTGTGATTCTAAAACGAGCGTGTTGGCATCCCAGAAGAGAAAGATCTCTGCTTCCCAGGGAAAGTTTAAGCCCTTCAAAAGTTCTGTAAGAGATTCTAAGCTCCGTGTCCTCTGAAAATGGAGCTCCACCAGGATTTTGTGGCTTGTGAGGCAATTTTTTTTTTTCTGGTGGGGCTGAAAGTGCAGAAATAAAAACCATTTAGCCAATAGGAAGCTGTTACCAGGATAGATCTTTAAATTGCAAGCTGTCAACCACTTTAGATGACAGTTCTCAGCTGCTGCAAGTTAATCACTTCTGCCAGCCTAAACAACAATTCCGATAACAAGCTGGCAGGTTGGGGTGATGTCTTCTATAGTCAAGAAAGCTAACACTTGGGCAGAAAAACTCAATGGAGACCAGTTTCTTGACCCAGAGTTCGAAGGGATCTTAGAGGTCACCTACTCCAACCCCTTTGCGCAGTGTGGGAATTAGTCAGCTACAGCACCCCAGTCTGCTTAAAGGAGCACACGTCTTTAAAAAAAAAAAAAAGATTGAAAAAAGCATTGACAGGAGAAATTCTCATGGGTCTGTGCACCCCAGGGGTGTGTCCTTTAAAAAAGGGGGGAAAGCCCCCCAACCCCCCCCCCCCACCATAGCTATGGGCCTGACTCCACCTATACAAAAGCACAAAGTGGCAATAAGTAGGCAGAACAGAGAATCTGTTGATCTGGGAAATTCTGTAGTTCCTGACTTTGCTTGACTGCTGTCTGAGACCCACGCGATTGCTGATGTCTGGTCCTGTCTTCTTTTTTTTAATGTTTTTTTTTTTCCAATTTTTAACAATTCTAACATTTCAAACAGTGAACAATTAATTTTCCAATTACATTCACATCCTGTAAATAGTTCCTGAGTATGTACAACGTTATAACATGTTCAAAGAATTACAATACATTACTCATCACACTTCCGAATATGTTTTCAGTAGAAAGATAACAGACTTGGCGTAAACTTGATAGAAACATTAGGAAGCCATCCGAACTATTGGAGCGGTAAGAAAGAGAAGAAAGAAAAGGAAACTTCTATTATCAACTTACAATAACAATTACTACATATCATTCGACCATTTGGAAGATTTAATGTGAAATATTAGAGCTAGTGGAGAAGAAATAAGTAAATAAGTATGAGATTTTGCGGAACTGGTCATTACATTAATCTTATATCCATTTGTGATATTGAGACCAATCAGATGAGATAAATTGTTTTTGTGACAGATAATCCAGCACTAGGTACCATTTTTCTATGAAATTAGAGAGAGTGTCTGAGAGAGAGTGGCTCCATCTTACGCTTATAACAAACACTTATTTGGGAATCTTCTCTCTCTCTCCCCCAGCCCTCACAAACCCACTGCAGCTCCTCGCAGCCCAAGCAAGCTCCTCGGTGCCTGTGGTCGTCAGCCAGGTGGGCGAGGCCGGGACGAGAGAAGCCGCCGAGCCGCCGAACGAGCCGGACGTCAAAAGGCCCCGGATCGAAGAGTCCAGAGGAGGAGGAGTTCTGTTGCCGACTACCGGGGGCGTCATCACTTCGACGGCTCCCCAGGGACAGGCTGCCGGCGAATGAGGAGCGGAAGCATCCCGAAAGGCAGCGCCGGGTCAGAAGAGGTGGGGAGGGGGAAGTCGGAGAGGCAAAAAAAAAACCTGCGACGGTGACACCTTGGCCTTTCAGAAAGAGGGTTTTTAAAAGCCCCTTTTATACGAGAGCGTAAAGGACAGACCAGCCGTTCTTAGAATCTCAAGGTGCCAAAACGAATGGGAGAACCTCCGCCGATTTGTACCTGGGCATCCGTTCTGTCTTTCACTTTGGAGACCTTTCCCCCCCCCACCCACCCTCCTCTTTTAGATTAAAAGAAATACAGACAATTTTGATTGTACGACTGCCGGGGTGTTGTTGTTCTTTTCACTCCATTTTATTTTATTTATTTTTATTTATATTTGCATTTATATCCCGCCTTCTCCCCGCCATTCGGCCGGCTCAGAGCGGCTGACAGCATATATAAAAAATACATTAAAATTCCATTAAAACGATCAATCGATATAAAATCATACAACTTAATCTTCTTCCCCCTTCTCTCCCTTTTCTAAAAACACGGGGGTGGGGGAATAAGCGAGGTATTAAAAATGCTAGACGTCCTTTTGGGGGGATGCAGGAGATGGTCTCTCATCTTAAAACACGTCTCTCTCTCGCCCATCTTTCCACCACCTCTCGGAGTTTCGAAGCCTGAAATGTAGAGGGATGCTGTCTGAGAAGGTCTTTGGTCTGGAGGGAGGGAGGGAGGAGATTAGGCAGTTTGAGACCTGAGTGCCGCCTGACGGAGTGAGCTCCCGTCTCCTGCCCCAGCTCCTGCCAACCTAGCAGTTCGAAAGCAAGAAGTTGCAAGTAGATAAACAGGTACCGTTTCGGTGGGAAGGGAACAGCGTTCCGTGTGCCTCGGCATCTAGTCATGCTGGCCACATGACCACGGAAACTTCTTTGGACGACGCTGGCTCTTCGGCTTGGAAACGGAGATGAGCACCGCCCCCTAGAGTCGGATTCGACTAGCTTACGAGCAAGGGAAACCTTTACCTTTACTAAGACATTTTGGGAAGGTTGGGTTCACTAGACACACATCTGCCAGTTTTTAGTATCAGAACTTCGGGTTCCCACCCTCCTAGGGCAGTGCTCCCTCTCAGCTGAGCGAGTGTGAGCCAGCTCACAGTTTTTTAGCCTCCGGCTCACCCATCTTGGTCTTCGCTCAGGGAAGATGGCTCCAGAGCAAACTGATTGATGCAGCAGCCCAGTCGCTCGCTCACAACTTTCATGCCAGCAGCTCACAAAGTAGAATTTTTGCTCACAGGACTCCGCAGCTTAGAGGGAGGCATTGTCCCAGAGGTGTTTGCATTTCCTGGCTCCCCACTTGAGAAGACCGGTGGGGAGCAGGGGGCAGAATCGCACATGACGATACAGGTAAGTTGTGTCATAAGTCTTGGAAGGGGAGTCGAGGGGGCACAGAGTGTCACTTTCTTGTTTCTACCACAATGTCTAGTTCCAGCCTTAGGCGTCACCTTCTGGGTGCTAAATTGGCATCGTACAGTACGAACGGACAGGCAGAGTCCAAGTGTTAAGCATAAGCACAGACAGTTTCACAAGAGGGGATTGGATAAACATAGGGAGCAATTGCCCATCCGGTCCAACACACTATGAGCCACAAGGTATAGAGGGGCAGTGATGCACTGGTGGGAGGGCGTCTGGAGTTCTGGCCCCACTGGTGGACCTCCTGATGGCCCCTGGGTTTTGGCCAAAACCCAGGGGCCATCAGGAGGTCCACCAGTGGGGCCAGAACTCCAGACGCCCTCCCACAAGTGCATCACTGCCCCTCTATACCTTGTGGCTCATAGTGTGTTGGACCGGATGGGCAATTTGGCCTGATCCAACATGACTTCTCTTCTGTTCTTATGTCTGGGGCAGTGATGCTTTGTAACTCCTGGTGCTTGGGGGGGCAACAGTGGGAGGGCTCCTGGAGTTCTGGCCCCACTGGTGGACCTCCTGAGGGCACCTGGGCTTTGGCCACTGTGTGACACAGAGTGTTGGATGGGATGGGCCACTGGCCTGATCCAACATGGCTTCTCTTCTGTTCTTATGTCTGGGGTAGTGATGCTCTGTCTTCTTGGTGCTTGGGGGACCACAGTGGGAGGGATTCTAGTGTCCTGGCCCCACTGGTGGACCTGAGGGCACCTGGGCTTTGGCCCCTGTGTGACACAGAGTATTGGACTGGATGGGCAATTTTGCCTGATCCAACATGGCTTCTCTTATGTTCTTATGTCTGGGGCAGTGGGCAGTGATGCTCTGTACTCCTGGTGCTTGGGGGGGCAACAGTGGGAGGGCTTCTGGAGTTCTGGCCCCACTGGTGGACCTCCTGAGGGCACCTGGGCTTTGGCCACTGTGTGACACAGAGTGTTGAACTGGATGGGCCATTGGCCTGATCCAGCATGGCTTCTCTTCTGTTCTTATGTCTGGAGCAGTGATGCTCTGTCTTCTTGGTGCTTGGGGGGCAACAGTGGGAGGGCTTCTGGAGTTCTGGCCCCACTGATGGACCTCCTGGTGGCACCTGGGTTTGGGGCACAGAGTGTTGGACAGGATGGGCCATTTGGCCCGATCCAGCACAGCTTATGTTCTGTCTTTTATAAGGGTGTATCAACGGGGCTTTACAGTAAGAGCTGTGCAGCAGTGGAATCGGCTGCCTGGGGAGGTGGTGAGCTCCCCCTCCCTGGCAGTCTTTAAGCAGCGGCTGGACAAACGCTTGTCAGGGATGCTCTGCACTGAGCAGGGGGGGTTGGACTAGATGGCCTGTATGACCCCCACTAAGGACAAGAAAAGAGAAAAAAAACTGAACCTAAAACCTAGAATTCAGAACCTAAAACTTTTTAGGTTCTGTATGGCCCCCCTCCAACTCTGGGATTCTATGAATATTTTACTGATGTGGAGGGTATCGATGTAGTACTGCAACGCAGGTTATACATAGTGTTTGTTTTTAATGGGGAGGGGAAACCATCTGAGGTTGTCCTCCGTATATTTTAATGACATGCCCAATTTGAACGAAGACGTAAATGCCGTCGCTCAGAAGCCGTGATAGACGGCTGCACCCGCAGAGTTAACGTGTTTGCATAATGGAACGTTTTTACCCCCGTTAGAACTTCTGGCATCTAAGCGCTGTGACGGCTTGACCTGGAGGCAGAACCGCCGTTGGAGAACTTGCTGGTACAAGCAAATCCCCTCACGCCTTTTCCATATCCGAAACGTTAACGTTTTAATAACATCGGGACATAAATCTTAACGAGCAAGAACTGGGTGGGCCGCCTCTGTTTGCGGAACAAAACGCACACGTTTACCGCAGGTCAGTGCCGAGCCGAATTTGATTTAGCTAGCCTTGGCGGCCTCTGGGTTAAAATAGAAATATGGATTACAGCATGCGCCCGCTGGGGGAATGGAGGGCCCGAAAGTATTAATCATAAATCAGAGAGACCTGTCAGAGGGGGGAGATGTGTGTGGAAACGGGCCCGTAGCAATGGGGGGCTGCCAGTTGATCGGGTTGGAGGGAGAAAGCCTGTTTGTTCCTTTTTGTTTTGGATTGGGGCCAGTTGTCCCCTCGCTAAAGACTGGGCCCGTTCTGGGTTCCCCCTTCTGAGTCCAAGTGTTTCTTGGGTATGCCCAGGACTTGGAACCAGGGTCCTGAATTTCCAGATCTGGCAACCACGGAGTGGACTTTGGCCTTTGAGGGAGAACTCCTTGGGGCCAGGCCTGGCGAGGGTTGCCAGCTCCCTGCTGGGGAAATCCCTGGACATTTTGTGGTGGAGTCTTAGGAGGGCGGGATTTGGGGAGGGGAGAGGCCTCAGCTGGATATAATATCATAGAGCCCACCCTCCACAGCAGCCATTTTCTCCAGGGGTCTCTGTCATCTGGAGTTCAGTTGTAATCTGCGGGGCCCACCAGGAGGCTGGCCAATGCTAGGCCTGTCAGCAGCCTCTGGGCTTGAAACGACTTGACTTGCATGATACAACTAGGCCTGGCTTCTCGCTGTTGTAGCTGAGTGGACCAAAGCTCCCTCTAAGCTGTGGAGTCTTGTGAGCAAAAATTCTACTCTGTGAGCGACTAGCAGTAAAGCTGTGAGCGAGTGACTTGGCTACTGCATAAATCCGTTTGCTCTGGAGCCCCATCCTTCCTGAGTGGAGACAAAAACATGTGAGCCGGAAGCTAGAAAACTGTGAGCTAGCTAACACTCACTCAGCTTAGAGGGAACACTGGAGTGGACCTGTGAACAGGTAGGTCCAACTTCCCTTTGGTTCATTTTCTTGGTTCCCTTGGCACATTTCTGGGGATCCTTGTTCCATTTGCCCGTGGGGGTGGGGTGGGTAGGGGTCCATCTCAGGCGAAAGTTCCACTTTATTCATTCATTTATTTCCTTAGATTTACATCCCGGCCTCCCTGCAAAGCAGGCTCAGGGGCGGGTTCCGACCCAGAATAATCTGCTGAGTGCAGATTTACGTCGTATAAACGAAATAACATACAATAAATGCAATAAAAATACAATAAATGCAATAAAAATAAGTGCAACGCTAAATGCTTTAAAATAAATTATACCTCAACGGACACATAAGAGCGACTCCTTGGGGGGAGGCGAGGGGAGGCCAGATCAAAGTGGATGCCTGCTGCCTCAACGGAAGGCCTGGCAGAAGAGCTCCGTCTTGCAGGTCCCTGCGGGACTGTAAAAGCTCTCGCGGGGCCCTAATTTCTCACAGGAGCTCATTCCACCAGGCAGGTGGGATTCATTTATTCATTCATTCATTTATTTCCTTAAGTTTACATCCCGTCCTCCCCGCAAAGCAGGCTCAGGGGCGGGTTCTGACCTATCATAATCTGCTGAGTGCCGATTTACGTACGTCATAAAAACGAAATACGTACAATAAATGCAATAAAAATAAGTACAACGCTAAATGCTTTAAAATAAATTATACCTCAACGGACACATAAGAGCGACTCCTTGGGGGGAGGTGGGGGGAGGCCAGATCAAAGTGGATGCCCGCTGCCTCAACGGAAGGCCTGGCGGAAGAGCTCCGTCTTGCAGGTCCCTCCGGGACTGTAAAAGCTCTCGCGGGGCCCTAATTTCTCACAGGAGCTCATTCGGCAGGGGCCAGGGCCGAAAAAGCCCCAGCTATAGTTGAGGTATAATTTCTTTTATAAATTAAATTTATTTTGCATTCTCCTAAATGCGGAATTATGGCCGTTCCTATTCCTCTCATCCCCCCAAGACGGTATCTCAGTGTGTGGAAGGTAGGCGCTTTGTGTTG